CCAACCTGGTCAAAGTATTTTAGAACACACGAATCACGGCTTTTGTCCTTAAGTAGATTTGTGCTACTAATTTAGGTCCAAACAAATTTGGTCAGTTGATTTTTTAGCAAATTGATGCTAACTATTGGCTTTGTCGTCTCAACCTCATTGTTTTCCATGAATTACAAATAGTATATCAGGTTTATCAAAAGGTATAAGTGAAATTTAGAATGCCCCTCCCTTTATTATATTGTTTCCTCGTCAAATGTTGACATTCAAGTACTGTATTCTGAATGGATTAAACTGTTTGATTAGTCGAGCTCGGTGAAGAATAAGCAGTTTTAGAAATAGCCCAACCCCCAAATATTGCAACACAAATCCCCTAGTATTACAAGGAACAGAGGTTTGTGCAGGCGAGGAGGGTAATCCACGCTACAATTTCCAACTGTTGCGCACAGTACTTGTCCCACATTGTGAAGGCTGTGGCGAAGATTCCACTTGGATGGAATTCTCTGTAAACAGTCGTAGAACTCAAAAATGCTTCCTATCTCTCTGGAACGCCTTAAATCAATCGATGTTGCGTTTGTCCTTGTTTAGGAATTAAACATGCGACACGGGCTTTGGAGTACATTCTGCACTGCACCGGAAATCATCAACTTGTGTGCCATTTTCCTTACATTCGGGAGTCGAACGGCTTTCACTTGCTAACCACACCGCCAACAAATGAAATAATGCGTGGAATCAGATTCATGTGATTCTGCCTTTTGCGCTCATTTATCGCCATGGCAATGCACAACATACGACTAGACGGATTATTGACTGCTCTACTTATTATCTTATGTTGGCATTGATTCACCATAAGCACGGTTGTCATGATAGACACATTGGTTCAATTCTGGCCAATTTCTAAGGCACAGAAGCACTTTGTTGTGCTCAAACATTTGATCGCCAATTCTAGAAGACGCAAAATGGGGTTTCTGTTACTGGACCAGGTCGAATTCCTCAACGCTTATCTTAGAATTTTCACGCACCTGAACAGACACATTTTTAGACTTTGTTTATTGAACGTCATGGTTTAACCTAGTCCAAGCATTAGCGGGTTATGCCTTTCAGATCCAAATTGTCACATTGGTTTCATTTAGTTTCGTCCTAATCAAACACCTGCTATTCCTACCCACTAACTAATATCCCAGAATGCAAAAGGTAAATACAGCTTCCTGTAGGTCTAAAAATTATTCTTGTAAATCTCTGTAAAAAAACAGGCAATAAAACTAAATGGAGCAACTGAAATCAATCTAGTTGGTAGTCTATTGGCTACATACATAAAATCAACGCGCACATTGAAAAGGAAATGTACATTTTTGATGCAAGGTGACGAACTAGATCATGCGCTCTATGAAACTGTTAAAGTAAAGTTTAGGTTGCATTAATTTGCCAATGTGCAAATATCTGTTAGACATGGTAATCTATTCCTAATATGCTTGAACTTGGAAGTTAACTTAGGCTAACGTAGAAATTTCATTTACACAAGTTGCAAAGCCTGCCTTTAATGCATTTTCCATTGATTAGTGGCAACGGGAGTTAGCATTTTTTTCAGTCATAATAGTCATATGGGCTAAGCAGTCTACACGAAGCATAAAGCCACACTCAAACAGGCGTGTCATGTTTCCTTGGGAGCGAGAGCCTAAGGGAGTTAAAGCGGTGCATATTCTGGAGCATGTAGGACAATTAAAAATAATTACGTTCCCATTTTTGCCATTTTGGTTATTTGTGCTTGGTAAAATAAAGGCCTATATCTGCAATCTCGCGCATTCCTGGCCTAATTTGGAATAGTTGGCATATTAGAATAAAAACTCCCATGAATTTAGATGTCAATTTAAGTGGGAAATAAAGAAGAGAAATAACGCTGCATCGCAAAATCGGGCGCAGCGAAAATTGTAGGCGTTTTAAATTGGGCATTTGAATTATGGTAGGGGTAAAATAATTTTCATATTAACACGTCTGTGCAAGATTTCGTAATATGGGGCCAGGGTATATTACACAAATGAATTAGAGCAGTCCACAAACTACAAAGCAAACGTTTGCCTTTAGAATGCACTCTGACTGGCTCATACGACAAGTTTACGCTATAACGTGTTTATGCTTTCTACATTCTGTTTGTCAAATGCCAGTGAAGATTTGTAAATACTTTGATATTCATTGATTCCATTCCAGATATCACACATTGGGCACACCCGACTTGTGTGCGTTAGAGCACTAGTCTTTCTAAATTATCGTGGGAGATAGCTTGCGTTAATTATCAGCTCCAGCGAATTAGAAAGGCATAACTCAAGGGTATGCAATGAGACGGCGCTTAGAATGCAGTCTCTTCAACTACCACGCCCATGAGGTCACCCACATTCAACGGTTGGCAAAGTGTTAATCTAACAATCACCTTGCCAAAGCCGAATCGTAGCAATTTCAGGCTTGACATAGCTAATCAACTAATCATTTTCCCTCGACTTTCTGGCCTTTACATAAAATTACCTGACATTTGTGGCTAACATAACAAAAAACTAATAATTTTATAAGGCAGTGCGCTTTCTAAAAAACAGAAGTGCACACTTCCAAAGCAACATCTTAATGCATTATATTAGCGGTATTTCACGATTATAAAGAGAAATAGGGTTTCTAATCCCATCGTACATCTAAGTAAATTTCCTTAGTTCGTAACTATCCTTGCTGCACCAATCACTTCCAACTTAGCTTGAGGTGCCGCTTTGACGCACGCAATTAACTTTATTCGAATTCGAGTAGACTTCTCCTATATCGGCCTACGAAATCGCAAATAAAATGAGACAATGAAATGGAAGCTTATCAAAGGCACTTAAGGATTCCCTCTCTGATACAGATGACGTAAGACAAATAGCAACACTGCCCCGAAAAGCTGCATCCGTAACTTGTCTAAATCCATGCTGCAATTCCCCTTAACCAGGAAAGATGAATTTGAATGTGGATGCTGTGCTTCCACAACTAAGGACTCCTTGAAATTCGTGAAAACAGCGATTTGAATGTGCTTTTGGCATCTGAGCTTGAAAACGTGTTTGCCTTGTTTTTAGACAATTTCTTATCCCAGTGTGGTTTGCAATACCGTATCAGTTGGAGAAGGCAATATTTTGGAGGCCGAGTTGACTGCTTCAAGCGGGTTCCTCGATTTTCGACTAGCTAATTGTGCAACCAAAGGCATTGCTGGCTTGGCCAATTATTTGCGGGATAGCCTGATTCCTCTCCTGCCAATGAGCTACACTCTCCTCGGAGCACAGGGAAAACGCAATTCGAAGGTCAGCAAAAACAATTGACGAAATAGTAAGGAACATTTACTAAATGCTTAAAAGGTATGAAGAATGCACCATGTCCTCCTATATTTGAGGAGCCCTTCCAGGTAAGCGACAATAGTTTTTTTAGTTTCATGCATTTTGAACAGCATTGCTTTTTGAATAGGCTGCAATTAAACGTCTACTCCAATAATGAGACAAATACTATTAAACAGAACGTCATTTGTTCTGAACATGAATGAATGCGACCACCGTAGATTCGATTCGTTGTGTTAAGACTCTGAATTCTCAGAAATCGAATCATTTAGCCAGAGCATATAAGGCTTTACGAAAAGTTGAGAGGGTAAATTCATAAGATCAAAAATTTTTAGAACATATTTATGCTTACTAATCACCTAATTTACCATCCACTTCTAGTCGATTTTGCACAAAAATTGGTATGTACCCAGTAAAAAAAGGAATAAAAATTGATTCGGATAGCGATACTTTAGTACATATTTTATGTGCAGAATAAAATTTCTAAAGCTGTCGTTTTTTCTGGAAAATAAAACTGCGTCCTCATAATATGCTGCAAATGTCGCATGAACGAAAGGCAGGGCTGGAGTAATGGCAGCAACTAAGTCCATATTTTATGTTTATTAATCCATCTATCTCATTAAAGCGCACTAGTTTCACCATAACCATAGGAACTGAATGCTTCAAAAGTGTGGTCGTCTGAGTGGTGGATTGAGAAAATAAAACACATTGATGAGTGGCTGCTCATTCAATGCAACTCAGTAGATGAGAAGGTTGCTAAGACCATAGAAATGGGAACCGGTCCACTCAGCGCAAAAATTGTCGCACTCATAATCTGCAGGGCAGGTTATAACATATCCACTCTGTAAGCATCGTATTTTTAGTTGTTTATGTCACTTTTGCAAAAAAATGTACAAATGCAAAAACGACTTGGTTGCGTTCAACTGCGAGGAATGTTACAGGCAAGTACAGAGTTGAGATGGATATGATAAGTACCGATCAGCAGAGTTTTGGTGACCGTCCTGCTAAACGCAATGATTTAAA